CTTTGCTTGCTTGGTTCCTGACTTTGTTTTGGGTGTTGGTTTGTTTGTTTGGTTGTTCTTGGCTTGTTCGTGGTGGTTGATGAACCAGCATGCTTGTCGTAGTTGCTCTCTGACCGTGACCCACGGTCGTTTCCAGACACGCCTCTCTCACATCAGTTCGCAAGACTCGTCCGGGTTCGATCATCGTCAACATGCTCGCGTGCGAGCGCATTCGTGAGACCAGACCTTGCTGTAACTCTAGGGATTGTTTTCCGCTCAGTGAGCTGCAGACCGTGCTAGCCGCCTGTGCCTCTGTCAAAACACCTAATGTCGACAACATTCCATATGAGGCTTTCTGTGTCGATCTTCCGTGGTTTTTGGAACTCTGCCGAGTGTTTTCTTGCGTCCCAGCCTTATGGAAACATGGAATCGTCGCCCCCCTAGCAAAATGCACAAACAACCGTACGTGTGATGATCATCGTCCCATAACCTTGACTTGTTGCGTTGCAAAAATCCTTGAAAAAGTACTGCTGAATCAAATTCACGCCTTGATTGATCTTTCTCTGGATGAGTGCCAAGAAGGATTTCGGTGGGGATCTGACTTGCAAGCGTACTCCTTCATGGAAACCCTGCGCGTGACGGGAAGCTCGACCACATTCTCCTCATTCCTCGACATCCGAAAGGCTTTCGATGTTGCATGGCGTGATGGTGCCTTGCTGCGTTTTTTCCGCACCGGAGTTCAAGGGGCTGATTGCCACCTAATTGACGACTTAATCTCTGACCGGACTGCAGCTGTCCGTGTGGCATCCTTGGTTTCTGACAATTGGGACGTTGACGACGGTATCGGTCAAGGAACTGTCCTTGGCGGCTTCCTTTTTTGATGTATTAATCACTGGTTTGGCTTCTGCAATCAAACGTGCCTGTCGTGCCTGTCGCAGAGCGTCGTGCCAGGAATCCGACTTGCAAAGACCTTTAGACGCAGCCGCTGCACGGGCTAGAGCTTGCAGGTTTCGTTTTGGTATTGGTCCGAACAAAAGTGCTGTAATGTGTTTTGGCCGGAGGCCCGCCGGTTTTGCTTCCTTGCAATTCCACGCTAGCCAGCAACCATAGCCGGTCGTTCGCAATTACACTTATTCTGGGGTTGTGTTTCATGATCGCCAATGCTGGAGGCATCATGTCGACCATGTGTTATCCCGCGGTGAGCAGCGTGTTGCTGCTTGCGTATCGTGGACGCAATCAAACTCCCAACAATTGCCGCTTAGTTTCTGCAATCAAATCTTCAATGCGTATGTACGCCCATCAGTTTCTTTTGGTTTAGAATTTGTCGCCGAAGACCGCCAATTGCAGCGAGTGAAGGCCCGTTTCTTCCAATAGGGACGTCGCTTACTGACGTGGCCACGTGGCGCACCAACTGCTGCGGTTCAGGGTCAGTTTGGTTGGTTTGATGTCCGATATTTTCGCTTGCTTAGTGCCGCGGGCTTGTGGGCACGTTTGCTTTCCACCCCAGGCAGATGTGTAGCTGCGGACGTTGCGCGTGTCACCACAGCATCTCTAGATTCATGGATTCAAAGTCTGGAAGCCGAACTTCTTGACATTCGCGTTTCCCATCCAGCAAGCTCGGGCCCGGCTCGGGTGTAGGACATGGTGCTAGCCAGTCTGTCATCCGGCGGTGGTTGCGCCACGCGCGTGTTGTTTTTCGCCTCGCATGCCAACGCTTGCTAACGCTTGATACTCCACCTACGTCCGCTGCATCGAGACTTTACACGATTATGCTCAATGGCAGCCGCACCCCAGTGTGCACCCAGTGGTGTATGGTCGGCACGTGTCTCCAGCTCATGCTCGCTACTGGGGATCGGCCCGCTGCGGCCATCACCCTTTCTGCGATGGGCGCAATGCCCGTCATCAAGGCAACTCCATCAGACCTTGCCGGTTTTGTGCTAGTCATGCAGACACTCTTGCGCATTCTCTCCTTCATTGCACCGCGCAACGTGCTTTGCGAGAACGGTGGCGTTCTCGAGCCCGACCAGGGCAACTGCTCAATTTGTCAACGTTATTTAGCACCTCCGCAATCACCAACCGTGCCCGCGAGATTGCGAACAACGTATGCTTTGTTGCCAGTGTGTTGCCAGTGTATGCTCTGCCGCTGACGCTCGGCGTCGCACAGTTGTGGTTGTACAAACTTTCTGATGGATCTTGTAGTGTTTCACTTTCTGATCACGACCCGTGGTCGTTCAAGGACAGGACTCTCACCGGAAGAAAAGTAGCGATCGTGCCCATTAATTGTGAGCCACACATCCCGGAACCGGAAAACTCCCTCATCCGCATTCAGGAACCCATGGCTTACATAGGTCTGTGGCACATCCGCAGGTCGGGTTTATACAAACAGCAGATTTCCATGCCCTATACGGGTGTGGACACACACAGTGTTGGACACAACGAAAATAGCACAAACCTTTTCAGCTTGCATCAATCCCAAGCTGATACACTCCCTGCACACATCGTGGCTTGGAAGAGTCATTTGCAACCTAGATGCTTGCAAAACTCGGTGTCTCCGTGAGATATTACGCATCGCGCCTTCATTCGTGAGTCGTGTTACGAGCGAACATGTAGGACTGTGCCAAATAATCGTGCATTTGCAACGGCGACAGCTGCTATTTTGAACGTGTTGCACAATCAAAACAGTCAACGAGTGTTGGTTGGATAGGCCACCGACCTCTAGGCGGAAAGTTTTTTCGAAGTGGCAACATCCGTGGTCGCTTGGCTGGGCCGGTGTTAATGCGGAGTGTGCGTGCTGCCTCGGCAGAAACGAGCGGTAAGCAGATTGACATCGTAGTGCCCTTCGAAGGCCGCCCTCGAGCCTTCAGGCGACCTGACCTCACCTAACCTGATGTGACCTTGGTAACGCGTGTGGTCGGAACTCCATAAGCGGGGACCCGCAGCGGGGAACCGCCTGGCTTGAGTGACGTGCTCCCACCAGCGTCTGGAAGGCATGCATGCGATGGGTTGGTGACAGGAAGTCACACCCTCCCTGACGGCTTGCGATTGTTCGCGCAGAAGCACAATGAAGGCGCCGCCAGCTGCATTGTCTTTGAAATTGGGCGGAGGGCCGGCATGCCGCCTGTTGCGCATCGTGGGCAAACACTTGCGTCACCCGAGCGGTGTCGTGGCGCAGGTTCTCTGCAGCGCACGCCCGAGGGGACGCCAAGCTAGCATTGGCAGCGGCACAGTTAAGAACACGGAACAGCGGACCGTAGATGGCGAAGTCATGGGCCGTAAGCAGGACCGCGAGCACACGGGCAGCCTAAGGCCTGACCTGCCATATGCCATAGGGAAAGCAACGAAACGCGAGGCGCAGGCGGAAGGTGTCGCCTTCGAGCTCGATGGCCCCTCTGTCAGACCCTTTGCACGCCTCCGTGGTGGGCCCGCCCTCCTCCAGCGCCATCTCGTATTCCCCCAGCACGGCCAGCTTAAAAAACTCCGTCGCCACTGACAAAAAGGGCATTGGACGACTTTGGAACAACAGGTTACATTTTTCATCCGTCGATATGCGACCCCTTACATGTGCCGACACATTGAACGCTAGGGCTTGGAGCATGACGGAAGCTGCGGTCTTGCCGGAAAACATCGCCGTTCTACCGAAGCAGGCTCCTGATAGCAGTCCTTCCAACACCAGAAAAGGAGATTCGAGTCCGGACCCGGTTGTTGCGCATGCGTGGGACCAGCGTGACGTTCTGGGGTTCGGCCTTGGGAGCCTTTTAGTCTTGAAGGGTTCTCACGTTTGTCGTAGTGGGTTCGGGCCGAAGCAGTCCTGCCCCACAAAGTCCCAATGCGGCGGTGCAGTTGGACATGATAAGATGGCAGAAATACGGGGACCGCTTCACACTGGCGAGCAGGGTCACGAAGTCGCCGCAAAGCATGCGCATTTTGATTTTTCCTGTACGCCTGTATGAGCCGCAGGGACGTAGTTGATTGCTTCTTGTCAACGTGTTATGTGGAAAGCCGAACGGCCGAACATGGTGGCCCAATAGATTCAATAGATCCCGTGCTAGTTAACTTGTGCACATTACGATTATTACGAGATACTGAGCGCAACAACACACTGGTTCGCCGAGGCTCGGACACAACCACACCGTTACCAATCAGGTTCTTGCATGCCTGCATGAGCACCACAACTCAATGCTAGTTCGTCTAACACGCTAAGATGAGCAACTTGCATGTCCTTGTTAATCATACCACACGGCAGTAAATGGAAAGCATACTTCTTGCCATCCTTACCCAGAACAGCAGCATCATGTCTGCTGTGCGGAAATGGTCCATTGGCTATACCACAGGTGCATGCAAAGCATGGCTCAAGTTCACAACTGTCTTCCAAGTGTCAACAATCAAAGTGTGACCAGCGTTGGCACCACCATTGAAGCGTGCACACAACTGAACATCCTGGCAGGTCAGGTAAGCATGGATGCCGAAGTTCAAACTTTTGCTTTTTTGAGAACCTGCGCCAAGATGTCCACAAGCTTGCCTTTGCCCTCATCACCCCATTGAGCTCCCAAGACGACACCTGAGGTATGTCTCTAGTTGGGGCTGCACTCTCAACCAAACAAATAGTCAAGGCACAGAATGGCGAGCTCTCGCCACAAGGATCGTGCGAATCCCGTGCAGGTGCCATGCAATCTTTCAAGTAGCGCGTAACTACCGCAACCCAAAACGTAGCAATTGTAAGGGCTTGTAAGTTTCATTCTTTCGTTCAATGTTTCTTGAAACGTAATCGAACTGGCAAACTTGGGGGCATGATTGTCCGAACCTCAAAAGAGGCAAACTCTTCAGATCTGGACGACAAATCGGCAGAAACAATCCCCCCACGCAGGCTGGAACGAACAGGCCCGAAAACCAAAGGCCGCTGTGCCTTCACAAAGGGAATATCTGTGCGCTGAACTCAAAATTTCTCTGCAAACAGCAATAATATCTGCTCTTCTGCAGACTTCACGTCTGCGTTGCCATTGCCAAACACATGCGAGTGGACTTGCGCTCTGTAGTACATCGGAGCTAAAATAATCATAATGGCGAACAAGCATTACAATGGTAGCACACTACAGTGCTTATACAAGCCTTTGCCAGCCAACCTCAAACAAGAGAATTATTCAGTGACTTCGTGCCTTAAGACAAGCTGCAGCTGAGCGACAGCCATGTCGTTGCAAAAATTAAAAGTCGAATGTGCTTGGCGAGGCAATCCATCTTGTGTCCGACTCATCAAAAAACGGCTGTGACTGGTTCGAGGTCGCTACAAGGCCTGGTGGTCGTCCTTCCATTGGTGCTGAGACTGCGTCTGGCGCACAAGTGGGATGCATTGCACCACGAAATTTCAGGAGTAAGAGAACGTATTGTTGCGCTTCGCACAATTCTGTGCAGGAACTAAAACAACTAAGGCCATTCTAAACAAGCTGATTGCAGCTGTCGACGCCAATTTGCGCAGAAAACGGCTGGCATCTGAAAAACCGCAAAGCTGGTTTCGTGGCTTGAAAAGTGTGCAAATAGAAGTTTCACACGAGTGCTACAGTTCAGTAGAAACGTGCAACATCTTCCAGGAAGCTTTTTGCTTGCGCCTGGAGTTATGTTGCTGTGAAGCCATAGTATAACACGCCTGCATCTGCAAGAACCTGTCCTTTCGGCTCCACAACGCGAAGCAAAAGCAAAATGGAACAGAAAGATTGAAACTGATGAGAAAGATCATTCGCTGTTGCACCATAGCTCGACATACAGCTGCAAAGACAAACAAGCTGCTTCGTTGTCGTAGTTTTCAATGGAATTCTGCAGTTTTTTGATTGACTAATTCATTCAATTTACGAACATTGTGCCATAATGCAAGGCAAGCATGCAGCCAAGGCGTTCCGTTCAGATGTTTGTGCGTCCATGTAGAAAACTTTTTCTTTTTGGAAAAAACGGACAAAAATAACAAACCAATAACATGGACACAGGCCTCAAATCAAACAAGTTCCAGCGTTGGCAATTGCATTTGCAACACCCTCTTGGGATTTGCGTGAAATAGCTTCCCAAAGCTGTAAGATTTTTGAGAGTCAATTTCAACCCAGTTACTATCTAACAGAGAGCTTCGGCTGTGCCAAAACAGTTCAAATCAAAGTCATTCTTATCCGCTCGTGTTCGCAGCAGTGGTTAAACGTCTTCTACCTCTTTCTGGGGAGGGTGTTGTCAGCTCCTACTCTGTGGTAGCTGCAGGGCTTGTTTCGAGACATAGGTCAGAA